TCTAGTCCATTACCGCCTCAAGACATTGACTGAGGGGAGAGTTGCCATCTGCTGTCATGGCTGCTGAGCGAGACATGGAGAAGTATATTTGGCTGTCATCCACATATTGATAACACTCTGCTCCACAGCTTCATATAGATGTTAAATAGCATCAGGGACAGAATGGCACCCTGAGGGACACCACATTTGAGCTCCGTTATTGCAGAGCAACTGTCCCCGAGCATCACTCTCTGGAATCTGCCTGAGAGGAAGGAACGGAACCACTGAATTACAGTGCCTCCAATTCCTAACTTTCCCAGGCGTTCCAGAAGGATATTATGATTTATTGTGTTGAAAGCCGCTGAGAGGTCCAAAAGCACCAACTGGTTCACACTTCCCCTGTCGATGCTTACACGCAGGACATCTGCCAAAGTGACCATGGCAGTCTCTACCCCAAATCCAGGCCTGAAGCTGGTTTGAAATGGATCTAGAAAATCGGTTTCATCCAAGATCACCTGGAGTTGGAAGGTGACGGTTTGCTCGATCACCTTGCTCAAAAATGGCAGACGGGAAACTGGTCTATAGTTCTTCAGATCCAGGTGGTCCAGGGAAGGTTTCTTCACAAGCGGTCTAACAACTGCTTCCTTTAGGCATGTTGGAACAGTTCCTTCCCTAAGGGATGCATTGATGACACCTTTTTAAAAAGTCATCAATGCATCACCCCCCCCCCCGGACGACCAGCCATTATGGGCAAAGGTCGAGGAGACACGTTGTCTTCTTCACTTTCCCAAGGATCTTGTCCATGTCATCAGTACTCACTGACTCAAACTGATCCAGTTTAATCTCTGAAATGGGTTTACTGGATATCTCATCAGTCAGTTCTGCTACAATCCCGGCGTCTAAGTAGGTAGGTAGTGACTTTAATGTCAAAGGGGCAATGGATATTCTTCTGGTTTTAGTATGAATCCCCCCAAAAAGCTTCATGGGAGCAATCCAAGATGCTTAATTCTACTCCCCCCAAATAGCTTCAGCATATAATGGGTGACCAGGTGACCTTGGGCAAGTCACATGCTCTCAGCCTCAGGGGAAGGCAATGGCAAACCTCCTCTGAACAAATATTGCCAAGATAGGTTTGCCTTAGGCTGACTGTAAATCAGAAATGACTTGAAGGCACACAACAACAACATCAATACTGAACAACTCCTTTAAAGTTCAGATACACCACCCCACAGATATATAAACCTCCAAGAATTATGTGGGGTTTGGGGTTTGCCAGTGCCTTCCTCTGAGGCTGAGAGAGTGTGACTTGTCTAAGGTCACCCCAGTGGGTATCCATGGCCGAGAGGGGATTTGAACCCTGGTCTCCAGGATTGCAGTCCAATGATCTTTCAGTGTTGTCATATCATTCATATTATTCAGCAATTGATTGGAAGGTGTTACTTTATTTGGGATTAGCATGTAGATTTAAATAAAAAATCTTGCTTTTGGTAAACTTGGATGGACTGGCCAATGAAATTTCTGGATAAAGATAATAATGTCAATGATAATCATAATGATGAAGATGATGATAATGAGGAGGAAAAGGTGGTAGTGGAAATAGTGGCTCTATTATAATGAACTAATAAATAGTCTATTATGCAATTTGCGACTAGGTTTGATATTCAACCCAATTTATAGCTGTGCAGGAATTTCTACAACTGCTGTGTAGTATCACTTTATTAAAATCAAGAAGTGCACACACATGCACAAAAAGTCCTACATTATTAAAACAAATGTTTAGGGCTTTGTATTCAGCAAGGTAAAGAAGCACTGAAGGCAGAACATTTTTTTATCTACGTAGTTACGGCAAACACATGGCACTGAATTATGTTTCCAGGCAACTGTGGACTGTTAATTAGGAAGAAGCATGAGAAAGCCAAGCTAACAGCTCCTTACACATTTTTCAAAAAACTAAATGATGATTTTTTTTAAGGGAAAGCACACAAAAAATGCCCTTTCCTTCCTCCTCATCTTTACTACAAATAGACATAGAAATAAAACTGACAACAGGACTCCAACGCTAAACATCTGTGCTACTGACCTGGATCCCAAACTAACAAAACCTACTCTCAATGGTTCTGTAAATAACGTCATTGCTAGATCGGGCCTCTTGCTGCAGTTAGTGATGATGATGATGTGTGTGTGTGTGTGTGTGTGTGTGTGTGTGTGTGTGTACCTGTGTGCCTGTGCATGCCTTTGGATTGCCTGTGGACTTATGGCATCCCCATGAATTTCATAGAATCACAGAGTTGGAAGAGACCACAAGGGTCATCCAGTCCAACCCCCCTGCCATGCAGGAACTCAAAATCAAAGCATCCCCATCAGATGGCCATCCAGCCTCTGTTTAAAGACCTCCAAAGAAGAAGATTCCACCACTTTCTGAGGGAGTGCGTTCCACTGTCGAACAGCTCTCACTGTCAGGAAGTTCCCCCTAATGTTGAGGTGGAATCTCTTTTCCTGGAGCTTGCATCCATTGTTCCAGGTCCTATTCTCTGGAGCAGCAGAAAACAAGCTAGTGCCCTCCTCAATATGACATCCCTTCAAATATTTAAACAGGGTTATCATATCACCTCTTAACCGTCTCTTCTCCAGGCTGAACATACCCAGTTCCCTATGTCATTCCTCATAAGACATGGTTTCCAGACCCTTCACCATTTTAGTCGCCCTCCTCTGGACATGCTCCAGTTTTTCAACATCCTTTTTGAATTGTGGCACCCAGAACTGGACACAGTATTCCAGGTGGGGCCTGACCAACGCAGAATACAGTGGCACTATTACTTCCCTTGAGCTAGATACTATACTTCTATTAATGCAGCCTAAAATTGCATTGGCCTTTTTAGCTGCGACATCACACTGTTAACTCATGTTCAACTTGTGGTCCACTAGGACTCCTAGATTCCTTTCACACATAATCTCGTTAAGACAGGAGTCCTCATCTTATATCTATGCATTTCATTTTTTTGCCCTAAGTGCAGTAACTTACATTTTTCTGTGTTGAAATTCATTTTGTTAGCTTTGGCCCAGCTTTCTAATCTATTAAGGTCATTTTTGAATTTTCATCCTGTCTTCTGGGGTATTAGCTATTCCTCCTAATTTGGTGTCATCTGCAAATTTGAGAAGCATGGCCCCTATTCTTTCATCGGGTTTCATTGGTTTTTTCTTAGGCAACCAATACTCAGATGTGGTTTTGCCAGTTCCTTCCTCTGAAATATAGCCTACATCACCTGGTCTTCGCTGGTGGCCTCCCATCAAAGTACTAACCAGGGCTGATCCTGCTTAGTTTCCAAGATTAGATGGGATCTGGATGTGAGCTAATGTGTTCCTTCCCCCAAATCCTTAATGCCAGATAGGGAGAGAAAAAAAATTCAACAGAATTCCATTTTCCTCCACAAGTCAATACTTTGTTCATACTTTGACTAAAGTATTGCCCGCTACAGTGCGGGAAACTGACAGACATCTAGTTTATCCACATTCTCAAGAGATAGCCATGGGTTTATACAGCCTTTTATAGAGTATTTTCAGTCTGGAGTGTGAGTGAAAGCTAACAATTCAAAAGGGATGTGGAGAAACTGGAGCGTGTCCAAAGGAGGGCAACTAAAATGGTGAAGGGTCTGGAAACCAAGCCCTATGAGGAACGACTTAGGGAGCTGGGGATGTTTAGCCTGGAGAAGAGAAGGCTGAGAGGTGATATGATAGCCGTGTTTAAATATTTGAAGGGATGTCATATCGAGGAGGGAACAAGCTTGTTTTCTGCTGCTCCAGAGACTAGGACCCGAAACAATGGATGCAAGCTGCAAGAAAAGAGATTCCACCTCAACATTAGGAGGAACTTCCTGACAGTAAGGGCGGTTCGACAGTGGAACACACTCCCTCGGAGAGTAGTGGAGTCTCCTTCCTTGGAGGTCTTTAAGCAGAGGCTGGATGGCCATCTGTCAGGGATGCTTTGATTGGGAATTCCTGCATGGCAGGGGGTTGGACTGGATGGCCCTTGTGGTCTCTTCCAACTCTATGATTCTATGATTCTATGATTCTATGATATTATGTTCATTGCAGAAAAGTAACAGCCAGATGTCAAGAGTGGGACCCATTCTTCTAGGCATGGATCTTGTTTCACACTGAAGGTTTATTTATTAGAAATATATCAAATCTTCCCTTCAAGGAGTTCAATGTCATGTACATGTTGCTCCTCCCCCCCTACATTTTATCTTCACAAGTACGAAGCGAGCTGAGGGATTGCAACTCATCCAAGATCACCCAGTAAACTATATGGCTTAGTGGAGATTTGAATCTGGCTCTCCCCAGTCCTAGTCTGATAACCTAACCATTGCAGCTCATTGACTTTCTATGTTTCTACAAGGAATGGGAAGGATGCATGAGAAGAATGTTCCTTGTTGCACCTCACAATTTGTAAAGGTTGGATCCTGACTATCTGAAAGACTGTATGTGCCTATATGACTTCATCCGAGTTTTGCGACTTTCTGGGGAAGACTTCATCTTGGTCCCACCACGATCGCAGGCACGTTTGGTGAGGACGCAAGACAGGGGCCTTCTCAATGGTTGCTACCAATTATAAAATGTCTTCCCACAAGAGGTTAGATTTGGTCTCCTCTCTGCTTTTCTCCACCAAGCAAACAAAGAACTTTATATATAGACAGGCTTTTAGCCCTGGATGATGTGGAAGTATTTTTTTAAGTGCACTATGCTTGTTCTCATTTGTTTGTTTCAAATTTAAAATGAATAGCTTTTAATATGATAGCTAACTATCTTGAATATTATGATTGCTTTTAGCTGTGTTTTGTTGATGCCTTGGATCTCGTTATGGGAGAAGTGGGAGGACATTCAATATATGTTGTTGCTGTGTATCTTCAAGGCATTTCTGACATATGGCAACCCTATCATGGGGTTTTCTTGGCATGTTTTTTCTTGCCATCCTCTGAAGTTGAGAGAGTGTGATTTGCCCTGGGTCACCCAGTGGTTTTCCATGGCTGAGCTGGGATTCAAACCCTGGTCTCCAGAGTTCTATTCCAATGCTCAAACCACTATGCTATGCTGGCTCTCCATTAAATATATACATAATAAATAAATAAAATAAAAATAAAGCTGATTGGTGTTGGGGCTAAAACTCGGCTCGAAAACTCTCCACTATGACTCTTCTGCAACCCTTCTTCCGGAAACCATTTCCCATTCTGCACACATTCTTCATGTGTATTTGCTAACCAGCTGCACAGGCTGGGTCAGAGTAATCAGTTATGGGAGAGTCTGTCAATACCTGCCGCTCCTGCTTAAATTCTAACAAGTTCTTAGACAGCTGTTAGCATCTAATGATTGGAGGCTGAACCAGAGGATAAGGTGGAGAGGAAGCAAGAGGAAGCAGTTAACACCAGAGACCTTGTTCCATTACCACTTTCTGTCAAAAGGCACTGAACAACAATTTGCCTCTTTACCCTGCAATCCACTTGTACATTGGCAAACCAATCGAAGGGATGATTATTCTCTTTCACTTAAAGGTGAGATTGCGGTAAATCTCAACAGCAAGTATCAGCAAAAAAGGGACAGAGAACCAGGGTTTGTTTAGGCGCTACCATTTCACTAGGGAGTGTTTCTTTTAAGAGTCCGGCTTAATGCTTCATATCTCTGCTGTAGGTTTTGCAAATGCTCCCCTCCCCAGCTTGCTTTTTGGTTACAAAGGGATGACTGTGACATTCACAAATCAGATCTGACTGATACCGTGTCCAGTTCAAAATATGGGTGACACAGCTGATGCCCAGCCACATGGCCTGCCAGTTTTTGGTTACCAAATATGGTCTGGAACACTACTTCTATGAGCAGCATCACTGAGAGCCTGAATCAAAGACCTCCTTCCAAGGACAATGTATCCCAGAATAGGTGGCCACATCTGACAGTGCTAAGTTGTTTGGTATAGCACATCCAATTCTAATAATGTGCTAGGAAAATCAGTAGAGGGTTATAAGATCTGTCAGACACCACTGAGAAAAATCTCCTAACAGCAAACTCTAGTTCCACTGGTGCAAACACTGTGATTCTGAAGCTAAACTGACCTCTCATTTGTTAGGAGAAATCCAGAATTCAAGGTGATTCTGCATTGCTTGTATCACAACCTTCTTTGGACATCTTTAAACAGTGGCTGGATGGCCATCTGTCGGGGATGCTTTGCTTTTGAGTTTCTGCATGGCAAGGAGTTGGACTGGATGACCCTTGTGGTCTCTTCCAACTCTATGATTCTATAACAACAGGTAAGGTTCATCAATTATAAAGGTGGTTTGTGGCAATTTCAGTAGGGATGTATCCACACCACATTGTTATATGAGTTTTATACTACTGTGTCAAGCTTCAGTCCCAAAATCATGGGATTCCTAGGTTGGTGATATACTCAGAGGGAACCAGGTTTCCTAGGGAAGAGAGGGATTGAGGAGCAAATCAGTTTAATTCTATAATGTACATAGACATTCAGGGTATTTTGGGAATTGTAGTTCATGGAAATGGCCCAGAATTTCCTCACAGGGAATTCTCAGTACCTCACCAAATCACAAATTTCAAGATTCCTTAACTGATTCATGACAATGAAAATAATGTGAAATTAATATAACTGTGCAGTTCAGATATATCTTCAGAGTTTATTTACTAGATTTTTAATCCCATTTTTTCTGTAACGATCAATATTTGTCCTTCCTGTTATCAGGACAATAACTTTATGATGCAGGTGACTGAAGAGCCATAAATGTCCTAACATCACAAAGTGATGCTTATTGCTGAAGACAGATCTATATCCTCCAAATCTGAGTCCAGCACTTCTCTACTTATACCACAGTGGTTCTATATTGGAGGTGTTCAACAGATTGGTCTTAGAGTCACCTGTATCATCCACTTTTTGAGACAGTGAACACGCAAGGTTTCTTTGTTTTCCTTATTCTTCACTTGCAGAAGGTTTCCAAACAGATAGCCATATTAGTCTGTTTTGGAATAAAATGGAACTGTGGAGGAAGAAAGGATTAAGCAGCATTTTATCCACCCCCTATGATTGGACACGACTTGACAACCTTGTCAACAGGGGATACCTTTACTTTTTATTTCATTGTGAGCTTTTGAATTTCCCAGTATAAATGATATTTCATCTAATTATCTAGTTCAGATTTCAATGTCAACAAAATTAAAATCCCTTTGCATAATCCTAATTCTAATATTCAGGGGAAAACACAAAATGATTTAAAAAAATACATTTATAGGCTCTTTTTGGAACAGCTATCTGGAAAACTGTTTAACATGCCAGTTGTTAAAATATAATTATAATGGTTATCGCTTCTCTGTTCCACTGCATACTCTCGTTTCATCCAGCAAAGGTTCAACTCACTTCTCTTCTTTGCTGCCCTGTTCACAGAGTTCCGAAACAATGCCAGAATGCCAAATATGAACTGGCAATGTTTTATCATACTATAATGAATATGCCACAAGGGGAATTCCACTCCCTGTTTTTAAAACTGGAAAACAAAGACTAAGAATAATTGATTGTTCACGCATAGTCCACAGAATACATTTGATGAATTGTTATCGCTACCTAAAAAGGAACTGCATATTCGCTAGGGAGAAGTCTTTCCATCTGTTCAAAATACATTTCAGCCTTTTGGTTACATGCTTAAGTCTCCCGACTTATAAGGAATAATTGTGGATGTTGCTGAATTGCCAAATACAGTTTATAATTTGCTCTGAGCTAATTTGATACTACTGTAGTGTATATTTGATTAAACATTGCTCCTAAGGGGAAAACTACATGTTACATTACAACTGTGCACAAGGATTCTATATCAATAAATCCACGTAATGTTCAGTTTTAGAAAGCTGTTTCATATTTAGTTAATGACTTTCTGTATTTTTTTTTGGGGGGGGGAAAGGATCCTGTGATCCAATTAATTACAGAATTCAACTTGTTCTAGCAATATATGTATCCCCATGGGAGGTAGTGGAGGAATGCAACTCTTCATTTTGCTTGTCCCTTGGCATAGAAATCCTACAATGGCAAAACTTCTCACTGTTCTTCTTGTACACTACAAATCTCAGTCTAAGTTATGAATGTTATGAATTTTATCTCCCTTCTTCTATATGAAATTGTACGTCTGTCTGAAAGCATGTATAAACCATACAATCAGTTAGGCTCCGAAAACTATCTTGAACAGCTATGTTTTCATTAGGTGCCAACGGCAATATTGGCACCAATTGGACCTCCAAGAAGACGGTGTTCCATAATTGGGATGCCACAGCAGAGAAGGTCTTCTCCTAGAACTACAGAATCATAGAGATGGAAGAGACCACAAAGGTGATCCAGTTCAGGCAGGAATACACAATCAAAGAACTCCAGACAGAAGGCCATTCAGCCTCTTTAAAAATCTCCAAAGAAGGAGACTCTAACACACTTCAAGGCAATGTGTTCCTACATTCTCCTACAGCATATTGCCCTGACCAATGAGACACTGAAAAAATCTCTCCAGAAGACCTTAAAATTCCCAGGATTGAAACCAAATCAAAATCAAAACAGTCTGTGGTTGGAAGTTTATTTCTGCTTCTAAGGGGTCATTCACATAGAATCATAGAATTGGAAGAGACCACAAGGCCATTCAGTCCAACTGCCTGCCATGCAGGAAATCACAATCAAAACATTTCCGACAGATGGCCATTCAGCCTCTGTTTAAAGACCTTCAAAGAAGGAGACTCCACCATTCTCCAAGGAAGTGTGTCCCACTATCAAACAGGAATACTCCAGCTGCGCCCTTTCCTGGACATGAGGGATCTTGAAACTGTGGTACATGCCCTGGTAACCTCACATTTGGACTTTTGTAAGGCACTTTACATGGGGCTACCCTTGTGCCTAACCCGGAAACTTCAACTGGTCCAAAATATGGCAGCCAGGCTGGTCACGGGAACACCTAGGAGAGAGCACATAACTCCAGTGCTGAAGTCTCTCCACTGGCTGCCAATTAGTTTCTGGGCACAGTACAAGGTGTTGGTTTTGACCTTTAAAGCCCTACATGGCTTGGGTCCAACTTATCTTCGGGACCGCCTCTTCCCATACGATCCCCCCCGCACACTTCAGTCTTCTGGGAGGAACCTGCTATTGCCTATGAAAACTAGATTATCGCAGACCTCCCACAGGGCCTTCTCTGTCGCTGCTCCGAGATTATGGAATGGCCTGTCGGATGAGATCCGTCTTATTACCATGCTTGACTGCTTTAAAAAAGCAGTAAAGATGGATCTTTTCCGACAGGCCTTCCCGGAATAACTTTCCTGACCAATTTGAGATGGTTTCCAGACTCTTCACCATTTTAGTTGCCCTCCTTTGGACACGCTCCAGTTTTTCAACATCCTTTTTGAATTGTGATGCACCCTTTGAGTTCGGCCAGTCAACCATTTACAAATCCATGTAACAGTTACCTTGTCTAGCCCACATTTTACTAGCTTGTTTGCAAGAATGTCATGGGGAACCTTGCCAAAGGCCTTACTGAAATCAAGATATGCTATATCTATCACATTCCCTTCATCTACCAAGTTGGTAATTTTATCAAAGAAGGAGATCAGATTAGTCTGGCATGACTAGTTTCTCAGAAACTCATGCTGACTTTTTGTGATTATGGCATTCCCTTCTAAATATTCAAAGACTCTTAATGATCTGCTCCAGAATCTTTCCTGGCATTGATGTCAGACTAACTGGGTGATAGTTCTTGGGGTCCTCTTTTTCCCCTTTTTCAAGATGAGAACAATGTTTGCCCTCCTCCAGTCTGTTGGGACTTCTCCTGCTCTCCAGGGGTTCTCAAAGATTATTGCCAGTGGCTCTGAGATTACATTTGCCAGTTCTTTTAATATCTTTGGATGCAGTTCATCTGGTCATGGAGATTTAAATTTATTTAGATTAACGAGGTATTCCTGTACTTCCTCTTTACTTAGTCTGTGCTGCATTTCTCCTTTTGTGTCCTCTGCTCCATTTTCCTCTGGTTGTTGTTGTTTTTTTAGTAAGTAATCTCACTCACGTATTCTGGGTTTGTTGTTT